GGATAATCCAGGATTGTCTTCCCATCTCAAAATGTTTAACTTAATTACATCCACAAGGTCCGTTTTTGCCATCTACATAACACTCACAGGTCCCAGGGATTAGGACGTGCATATATCTTGAGGGGCCATTATTCAGCCTACCACAGTTTGGCTTGAAGCTTATCAATTTTATTGCTCTTTTTGGTTTTATTGATTTTTTTTCCCCAACTATCTTCCCTTTTTTTCCCCATGGATTTCCATTTAGCCATGTGCTTACTTTGGGTTTCATTTGTCTGCCTTTTTTTGATTTCTTAAGGTTGAAGTGGAGGTTATTGCTATACATTTTCACCTTCAACTTTAGCTCCATTCTACAAATTGTTATATGCTATGTTTTTATATTCTTTCAGTTTCATATTCTTTTTAATTTCCATTATTTCTTTGATCCATATAAATTTGTTCTTAGCTTCCAATTTTGAAGGTGTTTTCCAGTTATCTTTCAGTTACTGATTTCTATATTAATATCATTATGGTCAGAGAATATTCTATTGTTAGGTAGATAGTTAGGATCTCCAGCTCTTCCTGGGACAAGGGTTCCCTGTTTTGATGCTGTTTTGAGTAATTGCTCCACCTGGGAAGAAGGATAAGGGTGCACTCCATTTTGGTGTTGCCCCACCCTTAGCCCTATCCTAAGCAACTGCTACACCTGGGAAAGAAGGGAATGCTTTCTCAATCTAGAAATTCCCCAGCCCAGGCATAATAAGATTTAGAAAGTGATCTAGAGTAACATAAGGGTAATTAATATGCCATTAGCTTGAGTCTGCATTGCAGTTCACCCCCCTAGGTGGGCTTTCTTAGAGGGAGCCCTATATGCAAATGAAATTTTGAGGACACCTGTTGATCATTTGATAACATTCCACACCTCCCAAGAGCCCTCCTCCAGCCTGGGCTAATAAAAGGAAACAATCTGAGGAGTAGGAAGTGAGTGGGTCAGTCAGTGAGTTGGTCTGTCTCCACTCGTGGACTGACCCGTTTTATTCTACAGTAAAGAGCTGCTTTTGTGCATCTGCTTCCTGCCTGAGGTTATTCTGTCGTATTGGCTTTGCTGGTAAGTTTTCCCAGAAAGGAGTCAGAAGACCGGAATAATAGTCTGGACTTGACATGTTGGTGCGTCTGGTCATTCTTCGGCCAAGAGCACACCGAGAACCAAGGGCAGACTCCCATTCTGACATTTTTGATGCCAAAACCCAGGATTCTGACAAGATGATGTGAATTCTTTTAAATTAATTGAGACTGGTTTTAGAGCTCAGAATGTAACCATACCTATACTCTTTAAGAATGTGCATCCTGGTCTTTGGTGGAGTTTTGTTTAGATGTCAATTATTAGGTCAAGTTTGTTTATAGTGTTGTTAAAGTCTTCTATATCCTTGTTGATTTTCAGCCCTACTTGTTCTATCAGTTATTGAGAAAGGGCTGATGAAATATTGGAGCATAACTGTGAGTTTTTCTATTTCTCTTAGCATTTGTATCAGTTTTTGTTTCATATATTTTGAAGCTCTTAGTGCATAACCATTTAGGATTGTTATATTCTCTTGATGAATTTATTCCTTTATCGTTAGAGATTATATTTTCCTTTCTTTGTATATGCCTGGTTATTTTTTATTGTATGCCAGACATTATAAATTTTGTCTTGTTGTTGAGCTTTGTTCTGGGATGCTATTCAGTACTTTGGCAGCAGTTGGGCCTTACTTTTAAGCTGTTTTAGATGGTACCCAAGCAGTGTTTAATCTAGGACTAAATTTTCACCATTACTAACGTAGGTACCTTTTGAATGCTCTTCCTTATGCTCCAGGTTTTTCACTCTGGTTGGTAGGAACAGGCACTGTTTACAGCCCTGTATGAGCTTCTGGAATTGATTTCTCTAATCCTTTCCTGTGGCTCTTTTCCCTGCCTTGGGTTGTTTCCTCACAGACGTCCACTGATCAGTACTCGACTGAGTACTCAAGGGGGACCCTGAAGATCACTAGAATTCTCCTTCCCTCTCTCTCTGAATCTCTCCTCCCTGGTCCTCTGCCCTGTGAATTCTAACCCCCGTGGCATCCCCGTATTCTGAGCTGCCTCTTTTCAACTCAAGGAGACCACCAAAGTCTGCCTGGTTTCCCTCCCTGTGCTGCAGCCCGGAAACTTTTTTGAGGCATTCAGTTGGGACAATTGTAGGATTCACCTCTATTTTTTTCTTGAATCTCAGGGATGATTCTTCTTCATTGCCTGTTGTCCACCATCATGGGAACTATTAATATTATTTCGTGTATTTTTGTATGGCTTTTTGTTTCATGTGAGAAGGTAAAACTGGTTACCATGACTCCACTTTAGCTGGAAGTGGAAGTCAAGAGCTGGGATTTTATACCAACGGGGGTGTAGTGCATTTTTAATCAAACTCGGAGCCTTCTGTAGGCTCGGCTCACAGCCAGTCTGTCTGGAGGAATGGCTGCACTTGTGGGACTGTCTTTCTCATCCCTGCTACCAGACCCCCTGCCAACCTGGACAACTTTGTGCAAGTTACTTAGCAGCTTGATACAGTATGAGGTGTTCAGAATAAAGGAAAAGTTGAACCCATTTTAAGTTCTTGAATCCATGGCTTTATTATGTGTTTTGTTTGGGTTCCTTTATTTCTAATCTACATTAGTTGGTTGGAGGTTAGTTTTTATTATGTAGGAATTTTTGTGTTTCAAACAAACATTTAAAAGAAAATTAAGTGTGAAATGTTTGTATAAAGAAAATATTTTTAATTACAGAAGCAAAAGAAATGTAAGTAGAGCATGGCATTTTAAATTTTGACTTATGAACATTCAGCCAATTAATATATTTGATTTTTTTTCCTTCTGCCTCATAGCTTCTGTGACATAAAGACTAATGATAGTTTTTATTTGTTAAGTCAGTTTTACTGCCTAGTAAGGCTAGGTTTATGATTTTAATGAGAGGAAATTCTTTAATTTTGTTTATGCATAATCAGATGTGCAGCTGCTGTGACCAAAATTTATCTGTTAAAAAAAACTCCAGTCTAATAGAAGAACTCCCATTGTTTATTTTTAACAGGAAGTCCAAACCAAGAGAAAATACAAAATCCAGATTTTAAAAATACTAGGAAATAAATATGGGATGTTTATGTGATAGCTTCTCTTAATATTAAGGCAAGTCAGACTTTGGTCCTAATTTGTCATAATTTTCTCTTTGTGTTTCTGTCCTGCAAAACCATTATTACCTAACCTGTCAATCAACTCATGAAATGGTTTACTAGTGAAAGTAGCTACAGCTATCCAAAGATTATAATAGATTTCTTGCAGCAGGAAAGGCCAGTTTCTCATCTGTGGAGGTTACAAAAAGCTGAAACAGGGGTTTTGGGGTGTATTTTTTGTTTTGTTGTCATTTAGAAAGTTTTCCGTGGTATACAAGGTAAATGATATTTTTTGTTTGAAAGTTTTGATTTATTGAAAAAGGTAGTGCATTGCTTATTTTGTGGCTCCCTGATAGGTATCTGTGTTTGCAGATGAGCCTGGCCATCTTTTAGGCAGCTGATCGTGATATATTTTAACACTGTCACCATAGAGCTCTCAAAATCTACCCATTTCACACAGCCTTTTTGATATATTAGGATTTAATACTGCTTTGCTTGAATCCAATGCAATTTGACATTTATAATACCCTTAGCCTGCTTTCTAAGTGAGTTGTCACTGCATTTAGCTTTGAATGGCCGTCAACACTTCTCTAAATTAATCTGTATCCTGTCTTGCCATTTAGAGACAAAATTGTTTGCAGTAAATCAAGTTTCATGATTGCAATCACACCCATGCAGAGATCAGATATTCTAACCCCTATAATGTTCAGTTGTAATTAATGCCCTGGCTTGACATTCCATATTAACTTTTACTGCTGAGACAACAACGTATTCTATTCCATTTCTACAAACTGGAATATTGGATTTCCAGAAGATTCTTGAAATAGTGAGACTTTCTTGGATTTTAATTTGCTTGGCTTGGTTTAAGATTCATTAACAAAACATGGCCTCCAGGAAGAATGCCTCTAATTAAGCAGTTAGCATCCCCATGATCCCAGGCCATCTCTTCTAACAGCAGGAATACCATAGATCCTGGGAGTCAACTCTAACCCCATAAGGACCATAGAGAATGCCTCTTAAAGCTAAGGTGACACTTAACTGAACACTTACAAAGATAAAAAAGGCACTTTAGTAATTATGCCCAGACCACAGGCATTGATAAGGTTTGTCATTGATAAGGCCTCAGTGGTTTAGATTGACAGCTTTCTAGAACTGATCTAGAGTTCTGATAAAGAACAAGGGATCTGGCCTCTTTTTTGAAAGCCCGTTTGTATTTTAAAATGATCATTGAATGCCTCTTAGGGAACTGTACAAAATTTAGAAATACATATATGCACACATACACATTAATTTTTTTATTACCTTTTTGGTGACTTGTTAATATCTATCACAGCTGTAACCAAGTCTGATATTGTGCCCAAACTCCTTTAGTCAAATATATTGGAATGAATTTTGTTCCTTGTTTAATTGTTTTTGATAAATGCTATTCTTTTGGTTGATTAAAGCAATCTTGCCAGTGACTTTGTACTCCTACATGGATGAATTTTAAATAATATTTATTTGCCAAGAAAATAGAACAAAGAGAATGATTAATAAATACAGCTTGTAGGGATTTAAGGAAGAATAATTTGACAGTTTCAGTTGTATATAGGTCTTCCTAGAACCCGTAGATTGCTTTAACTTGAGTTCTCTCTTGTTCCTTTTACAATTTAAAAAAATATATGAAGTCTGTTTTAAAATGAATACATTGTACCCAGATTTCTGTCAAAGTATATTTGTTCTGTTTTAAAATGCCCAGTCATGTTGATTTCATGGAGACTTGGGGAAATTTATCCTAATGGGAATAATTACTATGAGAGCTAAAAATAATAGATGTGTCCTTTTTTTTCTTTCTTTTTTTAAAAAAAAGCCGGACCTGTGATCTGCAGAATGCTGAGTTATCCCCCAACTCGCCGAGCTTTAATTGTGGGTTGTGGCCTACAAATGTTCCAACAGCTCTCAGGCATTAACACCATCATGTATGTATTTCTTTCTGGCTTTTTACTGAAAAGATTGTGAAAGGATTATTTTACCTGAAAAAAAGAATAGGACTCAGTGATTTGTTATTAAATGTATAGGATTTTCCTTTTGGGAGATACTAACTTTATGATTTTTTTAAATCCTATCATTTGTAACTAGAAAGAGGTGATTTGTTTGTTATGTTATTGGCTTTATTTGATATAATTTCTCTTTTATGCCATCTAGGACTTCCTTATGTTCTGAGCTAATATATCATTATCCTAAACCATTTCTTGATGCTGGTTAGAAAGTAAAACAAAAGGAAATCACCTGGCATTGTCAGTCATTATAGGCCCGCAGATAACTAGTTTGTTTCCTTTTGGGCAGTCTGTTACAGTGCAATGTGATAGGGACATTGGTAGAAGTGTGCTTATTACAACCAGAGTACAGTGGAAGGCAAATTGAGTGGGAGAAGAGAAATGGGAAAGACAGAAAAGGTCTATGTTTTCTAGTTTTCAGAGTAATCCCGAAAGTTGTATGTATGGTGGGGTTGGAGTGGGGTGAAGAGTATGGGCTCTACTGTGTTTTGTGGGCCTTGGCCTCAGGGATATATAGGCTAGTAGAGGAAACACACATTAAATAAACTCATGGTTAAATATAGGACTTCAAATTCTGATAAGGACTATACAGCACTGTTCCATTTCTCCAGAGTAGACTTTTAAGATTCTAAATAATAGAATGCGGTTTAGAGAAGGTCATGAGTTTTCCTAGAACATCGACTATTAGATGAAAAACTACTAGATCTTGGAAATCCCCCCACTTGCACCTGTTGGTTAAAATTATTCATTAAAATAATACAAATTATGTAAAATTAAAATTTCCCTGGTAAACCATTTGTATTTGAGACTCTGGATATTTTCCTTTAAAATTACTTGGATGTGATGATTTATTTAGTGATAATTAGAGAAGAGTAATTTGGTTAAAATAATTTTTAAGAATAAAAACTAAGTCCCAAAGACCTATTAGATTAAATGAGGATTTGTTATGAAATTTCACTCTCAATATAACCACACCCTTTGTGGATTTGGCTTTAATCATAATCCCTGTTAGAATGTAACTTCCTAGACTACATTTTTAATATTTTGGCTTTTCCCTTCCTCTAACATTTACTTTATTAATTTTGCCCTCACCTTTATCAACTCTGTTAAGGCCCATCTCTGTTGGTATAATGCCAAGCATGTGTGTCTGTTTTTTTCCTCTGGATTTGGCACACCATGACCCTGTTCTGAGATATGTCCACCCTCCTCGGTGTGATGATGGTCTAGAATTACAACAACACTAGGATGAAGCTTTCAAATAATGCCACGTAGTAATAACCCTATGTGAATATTTTGGTTGATCAACCTACTATAAGATGGGTTCTATTTCTGAAAATATTTTTTGTTCCACATTTTTCTAAGCATTTAAACTTGACAAGTTTGAAAGCATAGAAGAGGAAGGATTTTTGTTGTACCTTTGTGTTCTTTTAAAACAGGGATCACAGACCGAGCCACCTCTAATTGATAGGTGGTGGCTGAGGCCAGTGTGTTCCTAGTTGAAATGACTGTCATAATCCATTTGTGATATCTAATATAAATTGCGCTGATTTAGGTTTTCAAGTTTTTATAAAGCATTCATTTCTTTAAAGCCTTAGTCTTTTCACGGAGATCAAATGATATAAGGGTCCTCATGTTCCCTAAGATTTGTGATAGTCATTGATGTCCTTTGCTCATCACAAACTGTACATGATGTAGGTAGTATTGTCATAGAGCTTTTGCTTGCATTTGAGTATTTATCCTGGAAAACAGGAGGAATAAAATAAAGTAAATGATGGTTGAACTTAGACTGTGCCTACATGATTCAAAACAGTTAGTCAACTCCCTGAAGAAATTAATGTGATGTTCATGTCTAGAGGTTAGAGGGTCAGACACTTAATATGATACCTATGCTGTGTTACTGTTGTTTATTCATGGTACATCATTTCAGACATTCATATTTTAAGCCCATAAAACTTAGGGTAAATTAATGTCATTATGACAGACTATAGTACTGTTTGTTATCTGGGTAGAAAATGACTAATCTGGGATGCTCATGTAATGTTTTCTCCTGCTCTCTCTAGTCTGTATTTGTGTGTGTGTGTGTGTGTGTGTGTGTGTGTGTGTGTCTTTTTCCAGTCTTCTTAAGATTCAATAAGTACTATCATAAATTTTGTTTCTAATTTTAAATCATCTTTTAACCAGAGCCTAATAATTTATTTTTTATGAGTTTTAGCAGAAAATATTTTTTTCTCATTTTTAAATGAGAAATGTTATTTTATTCAGAATTCCTTTTTTATAGATATCTCATTATCTGTAACACATGTTTGTGTATATAAAATTTTGCTCTTTCTTTTCAGCTTCTTCCCTTTTACATGGCTCTTGTATATTCTAACTCAACCCTCATAATGTGTAGAAGTTGAAATTGCTTTTATAAATTCTATCTTTTACCCCAAAGTCTGTGGGAACTGAAATAGGTATTTTGAATTCTATTTCTTACCAATAAAAGTTTATAGAAAGATCATATGGAAAATATTAAAAGACCTCATCCTCATGGTTGTATTATATAATCTTACCATGTTTAGTTTTCTCTTCTCTCCTTTATTTCTATCCCATTGACTTATTTAATACCCTATCTGAGTCAAGGAAATAGATTTTCTTCTTGAAATATTTGATTTTCTTTCCCTCTACCATATATGTGTGCGTGTATATACATGTTTAAGTATCTTTTATTTGTATGATAACTCATGTTTCTTTATATCCTAACCCATATCTTATTCTATACCCTACTGAAGACTTGCAAGTTCTTACAAACATTTCATATTTCAAACATTACATTTAACTTTTAAATGAGCTGGTTTTCTAATATGTCTCTGATCACTTAATAATTTCAACATGCTGCTGAATTGGTTATTCTCCTGTGTTCTCAGGAGAGAAAGAATAAAGCAAATGGAGAGCCAGCTTTCCTAATATAAAGGTGTTTGTATTATTGCATTGTATCTCGCAAAGTTTTTCCACATGTGTCAAAACAAGAGGAATGATAGATGAAGATGATGATGATTAGTGTAAAGAAAACTCTGAAGAAATTCTCACTGTGATCTATTCTAAACTCTAGTTATAACATCAGTGATTTTCTATTTTTAGTCTTAGAAAATTGTCAACTATTAATGAATGGACCCTTCCCATATTATCATTACCACAACCAAAATACATGTTTGGGGCATTGGGGAGAATGTGTGTGTGTGTAGGTAGGTAGGTAGAAAGAAAACACCAGGTTCTATGTAGATTTGATAGCATCCTTCTTTTTTTGAGGAACTTATAAGCCATGATTTGGTATATTCTGATAAATAGATAACCAGTCCATCTTGGACGGATGAAAGGTATCAGATTTGTACCTGGGAAGACCAGATGGTTAAATGACTTACGTTAAGGTTACACAGAAAATCAGTGAAAAGGAAAGCCAGAATTTTAAACTTTTGAATTTGTTTCAGGTAAAGAGAGTTGTAGAGGAATAAACTCCTTTTGGATACTCAGTCCCCTACGTTTAAGCCACTGTCCTTTCAGAGTAATGCTCCCAGCTTCATCTCCTCTTCTTACTCTTCCATTTTCTACTGACTCAAAGTAGGGTGAGGAGTAGACGATACCGTATGGACAGATCATTTTTGCTTCCATAACTGCTTTATCTTAACTCCCAGGAGTTCACTTACTTTCACTGTAGTTATGGGATAGTGAAGGCCTTTAGAAAATATGCTCTAGTGATAATATTAATAGCCATCATTTATTGAGCATTAAATACCAGGTACTACTCTAGCATGAGTTAATAAATATTGATAGGAAACAAGAAAAGTAGGACAAAACTATTTTGAGCCCCTCTAATGGTGTATTCATTATTGTCATGACAATAACAATTTTTACTGTTTCACATATATAGCACTATAAAATATTTTCATAGACAGTATTTCTCTTGATCTCAACATCCTGTCAAGAAGGCAGGGCAGTCCTTCTGTTTATTCTCTAGCTAAGGAAGCTAAGGCTTAACTAGTTAAGTGACTTGTCATCCATTACACTATTAATAAGTTTTAGAGCTAAGAATAGAGGCCAGTTTTCTGACTCCAGATCACATGGGCCACCCTTTCATCTTAGAATACCTGGGACGTGCAGAGCTGGCTATTTATAGCTCATTTGGGGGTAAGATACAGTAAGTAATCAAAGTTGGTGAAATTCAGTACCATCCAAGGATAAAAATCTAAATGACTGTGGGGTCATAAAATCACATGCATCTAAATAATCATGAAACTCGTCCAGTTCTTAAATTTTCTGGTACCCAATTAAGGCCTTTAATTTATATCCTGATCTAGAGTTCCTGAACAAGCCAGGCTGATGGTTGAATGAGTCATTTATATTTGTTAGTCATATTTAATTAATTTAATTTTGTAAGTGCAGAATTTCTGGATCTGTTCCATTCTCGTATTCTATCCCCAACAAGCTCCAAGCTCTCCTAGTATTAAAAAAAAAAAAAAAATACCATCCAGTCAGGAAAGATGACACCAAGCAGCCATGGCCAAATGGTGGTAAATATAGAGAAAAATAAAAGTGACAGGAAATAAGGAAGAAAAGAATAAGGGTTTGCTCTCAGGTTGTAAGTCTGAATCGGGAATGTGGTTTTGTTTTCTCTGGGATCCAACAGACAGGACTCACTAAAGTAAGTCTTCCCTTCTCTGCATCCATAATCCAAAAGCTAATGAAAGATAAAATGCTTACCTTATCGAAGTATTCCAAGATTAGTGTATTGTAATCATTTGTGTTCATTGGCTGAAAGTTATTGAATAAATGGGAAAATGTTAGGATTTATGGTTTACTCTTTTGAAAGATGAGTGTAATGTGATGGAAAGAATATTAACCCAGGAATCAGGAAAATTAGTTTCAAGATCTGTCTCTACCATGGG